ATTTATTTATTTATTTATTTATTTTTTTGTCTTTTTCCGTGCCGGGCAACGGATCGCACCCCTCAGTGTTGCCCCCGCGCCTCGCTCAGCCAGTGAGCGGGAACCGGTCTGTATGTGGGATCCGAACCCTCGGCGGGAGTGCCGCCGCGCTTCTCAAGTGGCGCACTAGCGCAGTGCACCACCGGGCCGGCCCTCGAAGTAATTTTTTAAATGTCCTTATCAACATGGTAACATGATTTCAGTGTAACCCAAGATCAAATGAGTGTTTGGTAGAAATGTAGATTAGGTAATTGGGATAAATTAGATAAACTCAATCTTAATCTTTGAAAATGTGAATAGCTTTTAGTTTCCTAAATCTGAGGAATGTGGGACCATTTCATAATCCAGTACCTGAGGCACAATCAGGGTCATAAATTTGTTATTCAGGGCACCCAAACAGGAGACATCAAAATGGCAGAAAAGACTTTAACGGCATGTCATAAATGGGAATGCTGATACCCTCATGAGTTTTGGAAGTTATAGGCTTTAAAGAATGCTCATAGTGTGCCTGCTCTATATACACCCTAATTACTCATATTAAATTTAATTAGAAAAAACCTATCATATTTAGCATATTTTCCATTAAAGTGTTCTTTAACACGGACTACATGTTAATGTTTCCACGTTTCATAAAAAGGTTTCATCATTCTATTCTCTCTCATATAGTACTATCAAGTTCTCTTTATGTTATGAGAAGAACATTGGTAATTTTCTCTGCTAAACCATCTTATGATTGGAAGTGGGGCGGTAAAGCTGAGAGAAAGGGAGAGTATACACCCTGTTAGGAGCAGAAAGGAAGACAGAAAAAGGAGAGGAAGGAAAGAGAAAACAAAAATAACCACCGCAAAAGCACGGGTGGTAAGGAATAGAAGAAAAAGGAGACACAGTGAGTAGATGGGCTGAGCAAGATTCGACACACCATTGTTTGGCGCCCCCAGACAGCTCTCTACTAGGAAGCTGTGACTCACTTACCCAGGAAATGAGGCACGATAAGATGTGAATGAGGACTTTCAAATCCACCAAGTTGATATCAGAAGTCCAAAACTTAACCAAAGTAATTCTAGTTTTAGGTAATTTAAAAGAGTAAACCCTTCTCAAACCAATTGCAACAGATTCCTAACGGGCACCTCCACAGGTGGACGCTCTCCCTTACGTTTAATGCAACGCTCTACTGGAGATTAACTTTCCTAATACACAGCTCTGAAGCTACTTTATCAGCATCCTAGCGCCGACTGAATAATACAAAAACCTCCTTACACTAGCACTCAAGGTCTCCCCTGATCTCGGTCCAACCTGCCTTCCCAATTATCTCTTGGATCTAATATTTTCACAGGCTCTGTACAACTGCTAAGCTGAACTACAACTTTCCACCCAAAGACATTCTTGATTTTCTGGTTTTGCCTCATGCTAAATTCGATTGACTCAGAACTCTTTCTTTTGTTAACAGCTACAATTTCTAAGTCCTTATCTCTCTTAAAAGCCACTCAGCTCAAACACACCTCTTTCATTAGTCCTCAATTTACCTACCATTCCAAACTAGAAATAATGTCTCCATCCTCTGAAGTCCTTTGTTTGATCTTCATGTCCAAAATATCTTCCATAATCATTTCTTTTAAAAATTAATAACAGGTTTATTGAGATATAATTCATGTACCGAAATACTCATCTTTTTAAAGTGTACAATTCAGGGATTTTAGTATATTCAGAGTTGTGCAACCATCATCACTATCTAATTTCAGAATATTTTCATCAACCCCCAAAAGAAACCCAGAACCCAAAAGCAATTAGTTTTCATTCTACTCTTTTCTCAGGCCCTGGCAACCACTAATCTACTTTCTATTTCTATTGATTTACCTATTCTGCTTATTTCCTATAAATGGAATCATACACAACTGGCTTCTTTCACGTAGCATAATATTTTTGTCCACATTGTATCATCATATATCAGTACTTCATTCCTTTTTATTGCCAAATAACATTCAATGTTATGGTTATGCCACATTTGTTTATCCATTCATCAGTAGATGCCCATTTCTCCTGGGAATATACCTAGGAGTGGAATTATTCGGTCATATGGTAACTCTCCATTTAACGTCTTGAGGAACTGCCAAACTTTTCTGAAGTGACCGCACCATATTACCATCCCACTTAGCCAGGTATGAGGGTTCAAATTTCTCCACCTCCTTGTCAATACTTGTCATTTTCTTTTTGATTATAGCTGAAGGAAATCAGAATGTGTCACCCCAAAATATGCCTCTTTGACATAAATATTTTTGAGCTAAAGACAATTAAGCAGCAGCAAACAGAGGAAGAGCTCTCTCTATTCCCCACCCCACTTTTCCACCTAAAGACAGGATATGAATTCTCCTTTACTGGTGACAACTCTTATCTGCTCAGAGATGGCACCAGAAGACTCTGCAAACAAATCTTTATCCATTAGTTTTCTCACGTATACATACACGCACACGTGTGTGCATGTATATATATATATATATATATATATATGTATGTGTATATATATATGTGTATATATATGTATGTGTGTGTGTATATATACACACACACACACACACACACACACACACACACACACACACACACACACACACCCTTCCCATAGTTTCCCACCTCTGGAAGCCTAAAACTGCTTTCCTTTGTCTTGTCACTTCCCTAAAATTTACTGTTCTTTGTTGAAGGTGATATACAAGCCAGAGTTCTAAGCCACAGCTTTGAGTTATTGTTCATCAAGTTTTCTTCTGCGTGATATGCAC